AATAAAAGATTTTTAGTTAAATTAGCATTTGTTGTTCGCTCAAACTTAAAAACAGATTTTAGTACTAGTCAAATTTCAAATAAACTTCTACACTACAAAATCTTGATATAATGATAAATATGAAAACAATGAAAAAAAGTAATGAAAAAAGCATTAGAAAGCATTGGAAAAAATTATGTTACATCAAAAAGGCATTTAATAGGTAAATGTGATAAGGCAATATAAATATATATGCTATACTGTATAAAAATATGCACATGCAATTGGCAGCTATCATTCACAAGGTGCTTTCTCCTATATAAAATAATTATATATCAAAGTTATTTCTATAATAATCGTATTAGCCGCTTCCGAAACAATCTAAACGAGCGATGTATTATATGGTACTCGTTCCCGAGTAAGAGCAGGTAATAGCGAGCATAAATTCAAGGATGGCCCGCAATCTTCCTGAAATCTCGGACACGGTGAGCCGGCAGTTAGCCTCCGCGATCTCCTGAATATTTGAGGAGACCGTCCTCCCCTCGGATAGCAGGCATCTGAGTACTGAGAGACGCAGACACAATGGATGCCGCCAGTCGCTGGCTCGACTTTCGACTTTCAACTTACGACGTTAGAATGATCACTCGTTTCAAATAAATAGCTCCCGTCGCGTGACTGAAAGCACCTTTTTAGTCATCTTTTTTTAATATATCCTAATTCACATCATTATATTTCTTTGCAGATCTCTTAGAATAGAATATTAGTGTTATATTATATTATATCTTTAAAAGATGTAATACGCATTCTCTCCATCTAATTGCTAGTCTGAAACCTAATGAAGACAAACGATCTGTTTGTAGATTTGAGTAACGATAGCTACGGAACAGTGGTGAACATGGGCCTGGATGGAGAGGGTGCGAGTCCAGGTGGTGGCAACGGAGCCGGGGGTGGACCGCCCCGCGGATACCTGGGTGCGACAACACCTCCGTATCTCTCAACGTCCAGATCGCCGTCCTTACCACCTCAGTTCCCATATCCGCCGGACGCTGGTCTCTCGGTGTATACCACTCTCGGTAAGTCCAACGTCAATTACTATAAGCAACGTACTCTTAAAAAATTACGCTCTCGGCTCTTTCTATTATCTTCAAATCTTCGAAACTGCCTCCTAATATTTCCTAATTTTTTCAATTTTCTGAATTCCCGCAATTTCTTCAGTCCTTCAATTTCGTCAACCCTCTTCCAACAGTGTCGAGAGATTTTGATTTTTATAACGCTTTTCGAGATCTCCCAAATCTATCAATTTTCTCAGCTTTTATGTCAGTTCCCATTTTAAACGAGCCTTGCTCGCTAGTGGTCAATAATATACTCGGGCTGAGACAAGAAGAAACTCGAGCGTTAAACTATTCTAGTGCGAGAGTCGCAAGTTTACGACTGACGCAAACCATATGATTCCAGGGGGACCGGGCGGCATGGTGCCAGGACCAGCGTCGGATCTGAGTAACGAATCGAGTGGAGGCGGCGGTGGCGGCGGCGGCGGTGGCGGTGGTAGCGGCGGTGGCGGTGGTTACCCCGACTTCCCACCGTCGCCGGACTCCTGGCTCGGCGAACCGCCACCCCCGCATGCTCACCATCATTCTCATTCCCATTCCCATTACGCCACATAACCCGCCAAAACCGCGCGTCGCCAAATACCACATAGAATAACGTGCTGGCAAAGCGGGGCATTCACTTGAGACCGTCGGTGTTGGCCTCGTCGTCGTTGTCATCCCTGGGGAAGCTGAAGAAGTTTTTCCCGGTGTGTTACTTCAAATAAAAAATAATAAATTTCGTAAAATTCATTAAATGTGAATACGTTCACCGCTTGATTCTATTCTGATCTCTTTACTGCAAGGAAAATCTAAAATCTTTTTATGTATATATGGAAGGTCAAAAGCGAAAATGAATTTTTATTTTTCATTAAAAATGTGATAATCTTTTAATTTATTACATCTGATATTTTTTCATATTTTCATGTAAAATGTATATTATTTTTTCATGTGTATATTTCTTATTTATACAATATCTATATTTTTAATTTATTTTGGAATAGTGTAATTTATAGAATTTATAACAATTTATCATCATAATCATTTTAGTGATTTAACATTTGAATAAATAATAGAAATCACTTTTTCGCTTTTAAATCTTTTATATTATTGATTAGTGTTAGGATATCGATTAATGTTAGGATAAATTTGAATTAATTTTTGGGTAGATCATCTGCGATAAATTACGAGAAAAATTTCGAGATAATTTTCGATAATTGACATGGTCTTCAACGACGACGGATTGTGCGATGTTCGTGAACGTCCCTCGTGGTCCAAATCCAAGTTATTCTATGCTGGTATTTTACACCGTCCCTCCTCACGATCTTTCGTCATCCGAGCGACCGTATCGACGTCATACCCTTATGGCACACATACGATTCGCATTCGATACTACGACTAATCTAAATATATTTATGTACAAGTTCCTCGTTTTTCGGAGTTTGATTGTCGAGTAATAATAGGAGGTAGTGATAAACGTGTCCCGGACTGTTCGCGGATCCATTCGTCGTGATCTATGATAATTATTATTTCATTTTAGTCTCTAACGAGCCCGGAAGACAATTTGTAGAAAATGAGACGTCGAGATTTTATAACAAGATATGTGCAAGTTTTAGTTTTAGAGAAATGAGTTATGACACACATATATTTGATATTGTCTGAACGAATTCACATCATCACGACGAATGTGATCATCTGTATGATCGTATCATACTGCCTCTAAGTCCGATTTTCATAGAACAAGTTTTTAAAAAGTATCAAAGTATAAGTCAATTTAATACATATATAGCTTACATATAATTCAAAATTTCATAAATTTACAAAAGAATGTATGATCCTTTTTTTTCTTATCAGATAGATTTGTTCTTTATATTTTCTTATAAAAGTATGTAATTTCTTGGAATGTCGAGATAAAATGCTTTGTATAATCTAAATTACTATCTTATTGCTTTATGTTATCATCGAATAAGAATGATAGAATATATAATAGAAGAAATAAGGAATTATTTCCGATATTTGATCAAGATAAAATAATTGTTTTATTTTTAACATTGTTTGAGCGATTTTCAAAGACTTGAATTCTGAAAATCGGGCATCAGGCATACGTGCTGACGATTTACTTTGCTTGCGTGTGACGCTAAAATCTTGAAGTGTGTATTGTAAATAGTATGAATTAGGAAAACCTGTAGGAAAAAGTTGGTCCAATTCATCTTATTACTTTTTAATTACCTGTGCATTATTAAAACATAAAAAAAAAAAATAAATCGAATTATGCCAACTTAGTAGCTCCAATAATATAATTTATACTATATTCACGTGAATGAATACATTTTCATTTCTTCCGAATTTGATATTATATTGTATAGAAATAGTTTTCTTTTTCAAAATTGAATAATCATGGATTGGAAACTTTTTCTTGCTAGTTGATAAAAGATTGACGTGCAAAGGTTTCAACATGCACAACAATATTACGTTAAACAGTATTCACTTAATTTACATTTGTAAATGTTTATACAAACGCATATTGTCCGTATTACTTCCACTGGATATGTTTTAATTACTATATTTAATATAAATTTGAAATCTCTCTGTAAAACGAATGCAAAGTCGCTACAATCTGAGTAGAATTGTACGATCTCGTGCATTCTTATGCTATTTTTGCGCGCCAATTTGTACAACGATCAAAATTATAGTAATTTCGAACTGCATCTCGTTGCTTGACTACGAGGTCATGTAAGCCGTCGATAACTTGTAAGTGACTCGCGTCATTGTGTATACAGAAAAGAAATTGAAAAATAGTTCTCGAGGCCTAAGTCGCAAAATATGTTGATAATCAAAACAGAAGAAAAATAAATTAAACAAATTGAATGTACGATAAAGCCATGCTAAGTGAAATAACCATAGAATAATAATATGAATCTTAGATGAATTAACAAATTGAGTATCTTACTGTTATTAAAATATGTTCACAAGAATGGTAAAATGTTTCAGATTATAGTGGCCACGTTTAGCAGAATATTTATTTTGCGGTGTTGTGGAAATTTTCTTCATAAAGATAGGACTATTCCTCCAGATCTAAAAGTGTAATCTAATCAACGTGAAAAAAAACTTCAACAATTGCAAAATAAACATTCGCAGCCATTATGAATTATTATAATTTTTTTAATATTTTCATGTATTATATTACCTCTCTGCTAAGAATATAATAAAAATAAGGGGTTTCAGATTTTTACACAAAGATTTTAAATAAACATAATATACATATACAGAATATAGCAGAAGAGGTATGCTTTGTGGCACTTTGCAATTTTAACGATTTCGTAATGAAGTGGATAAATAGAACAGTAATAGATTGATTAATACAAATACGTCTCATATTATTATTAAATGGTATGTTAGCATGCAACGCGAGCGGCAACAGCGACAAAAGCGCAAGAACGTCATTGTAGAATTGTATATATCTCGGTACCGTTCCCAACTCTCCATCCCCGTCACGCTCCTTGTCTTCTTACATGCTCTCATACGTTTTACCAACGGATACGATTATCGCGAACGGAAGGAAACGGTAAGAAAGGTATATTAGACTTATAAGAAAGATTAATGTTGTACAGTATTTCTCTCCGCTCCTCGCCGGATGTGCGGTCGAAGGAATTCGCGTGTCTGGCGCAGTTCATAAACTTCACATCACTATGAGTTATTACGGATCTTTATATTATTATCTAGTCATGGAGTGATAATAAAAATTCTATCATAATCTTAATCTCCGTGCGTGGTTTTATCTCTATCATTCTCAAGTATCGTGTGCGGCACATTACCAAGTGTGACTAAACCGCCTCGAAAATGAAAGGTGTAGGTCATCGACGGAAATTCAAAAGCAGAAGTTCGAAAAGTTAAATATAATCAACATGATGTACACACTTGTGATTAACGCACAAATTCTGCATATCAATGGCACTTTATTCATGGTGATTATGTACAGATGCTACATAACGATATATGAACTATAATTATTATATGTACACACATACGCAAATTTCTGTTATTCATAAAGCAAAATACATCAGTAAACGAAGACAGGATTTGATACCGGCTTTCGCGCCGTATTCAGCACTTGGAAGAACTTTTCCACAATGAAAGAAAATCTACAAAAATGTCAAAAATATCATGCGCGTATTCTATATAAATATATACAAATCTCAATGTACAAGTTCATCTTAAGCTCTCTTTCATTACATTTTTTGTATTCTTTTTTAAATAGCGAAAATAGGTTCTCCTGTGTATGAAAATATTTGTCGTTTAGAAAACTTCTTCGTTTAAAAATTTCATAACACGTAACGCCTGAGTATTACATTTTTTTGTACCAATGTATCGTTAATTCTCTCATCTCGGGAAAAATGTGAGAAGAGATAAATGAGAAACGCAGATAAAACACGATACATTGAATGAATAGTAAATCTATGAGAACACAATTCAACAAGTAACAATTTCCATAGTTCTATTTCCTTTTTCACTTTTTGTGTATAATATTTTTTGATTCATCAGTCTGTAATCTCTTAATTGTCCAAAGGTTCATCGAATGTCCTTGTCTTTTTTAGGATACTTCTTGTAACCATAAGCTGTTTTATTATCGCTTTTTCAACGTTTTTCTTATTCTTGTTTGAAGTTGATAAGTGTTCAAATGTATCTTCCAGTGCTTTCCTAGTTTTCACCAGTCTTCGTTTTAACGCTTCATTCTCCTGTTTCAAAGCTTCCACCTCTTCAAGACCTGTAATTATAACATTAAAGAATCATTTGAATTATTTTAAAATAAATTCAAAAGTAAATATTATTAAATAAGACTAATTACTTTCAAATAAAAATTATAAGATGAAAATAGCTTTATAAGTTTTTAAAAACAAAAAGGATGTAACATATTCATAACATTTTTAACACATTTTTTTTTTTCAAAACATACCTTCTATCGGTAATGGACTTTCACTGTTTGAATCTTGAGCTCTATGATTACCATTGTCTTCGTCGCTTAATAAGTTAGTCATAGATTCTGTGATCTTTAACGTATCTTTCAAAGGTCTTATTATAGTAACAGCAGCGTCGCTTTCTATTCCCAAATCTGGCGAACAACTGGATTTGCTGCGACCTCCGAATGCAGAGTAATTCATCGGTTGCCAAAACTGGGAATTCTATAATAAATTAGAGAAATCAAAGTTTAAATCTTATTCTTATTAAATCTTCTTTCACAAGTTTGAAAATTTTAAACAAAAAGGAGTGCGCGATATAAAATTATAAAATATCTGTAATTTATATAAATTAATCATATAAATTAATCATAAATAATGCAATTTATAAACCTTTATATTAAAATAATAAATAACAGCAATTTATGGAACATTTTTAATGTGTAATAATATGCAATGTAAAATAATATGTGCATGTTATTTATGTAGCATTACATGCAATTGCTGGAAGGTTTATTGATGAAGTATTAGGGTATCAATTACGTATAATTCACAACTCGTAATTGTTAAAAGTGTGGACAATGCATTCATAAATACAATATCCACCTTTAATATATTCCATAAATAAAATGCATTAACACTAAGAGAAAACGGCGAGCAACTAACATTATAAGGTTGATATTCCTGTAGAATATCGCAAGTTTGTTTGAGCGTAGCGTCCGTAGGTATCGACGATACGCCGCTCGAACTCGCCGTCGAATCGCTAGCCTCGCACACCGCCATGTGTCTTCTGAATTCTTTATTCGCTGTTTCGAGTTCTTGCACTCTTGCTCTATGCGAATCGTTGATCTGATTGAGATCGCATATCTGTGTACGGCGATGTTACATCACATATTAGTGCTGACACACACCGGGGAACACTTTCATAAACTAATTTAACTTTGCTTACCTCTTTGCTGAATTTATCGTGTAGCGAACGAACAGCCACATCGTATCGATTCTCCATTTTTCTTATATCTTGCTCAAGTTTCAATTTGTCGTTCGTTAACTTGGTGTTCTCTACAAATATCTGACTGTGCGAAAGAGTGAGATGATCTAATTCTTGTCTGAGAGTGGATATGGTTGCTTTGGCAGTTTCGGTTTCTTCCTCCAGCTGTTTAATTCTCGCTCGCAACTAAAATGGATCAAATAACTGCAGTTCTATGGCAATTCTTATAATCAATGTAAAAAAAGCAGCACGCACTTACCGATTCGTTTTCTTTGTTGAGTATTAACAGAGTTTCTGTAGTCTTTCTTTCGGAGTTTTCCTTGTACTGTAAAAATTCTGTTTTCTGTTTGGTAATTTCACTCGCCATTAGCTCGACATCACTGATCTTTTTTTCCAATTGCGTCTTGCGAATGCAATTCTGCTTGTTCTCCTTTCTTAACGTGTGGAACTCGTGTATTTTCTTCTCCAAAGAAGCTTGCAACTTTTCACAAAGCCTCTGAGATTTCTCTAATTTCGTAATAAACAGCGTTAATTTTTCATCGGTGGTCTGTAAATAAAATTCAGCTTTTATAATTATAAATTTCTAAATTAATGGAATATGTTTATATCATAAATTACTTCAATTTTTAACAATTCATATACATCAATCTTTTAGTTTAAAAATGATTGATTAAAAAATAATATTTATTTAACCGTATTAATAAGCGCAAATGATTAGTGATCTAAAAATATATAGATATACTTACACAATCAAAAGAACATGTGGTCAAATCGATCCTTAGGGCGCTAAGTTCAGAATACAACAAATCATTCGTTTCTTTCAGCTCCTGTATTTGGTGGCTCATATCCAAATCGCTGAGGTCGTTCTGGTAAGTCTTATAATAAGGCACATAATCTGCGGAGTCTTCGGAGTCGCTGCAGGTCTTGGTGTACTTCGTGAATCTGGAGCGGCTTAGGTTCTTGTGTTGCTTCTCTTGCAAACCGATTCTGGCCATGGAGACGATCCGATCGGGTTCTGAGAACGTTTCAGAATCCGATTGCGACGCCTGATTTTTCATCTCCACAACATTTTCGGACCGACTCCTTTTCACGGAACTATCAATCTTATCATTCACAATTATACCATCTTGAACGTTCATGCCTTCGAGAGCACGCACGAAATCATCCGATAGTATCTTAGAGCTAAGCAGAACGTCCAGCACAATCTTCTTATGCTCGTTACCGATAGTGTCCGCACGATCGGTATTCTTGAGCATCTCCTTCATGAACTTTACCAGATCCTTCAGATGCGTGCGCAGCAGTTCGCAGTAGTTCTTCGCCTGTTCTGTCTCGTTACCGCAACCATCGATCTCCGCGGAAATGTCAGGCTTCGACACAAGCTTCAGCCACTTCAAATAGTCCACTTCCTTTTCTAGATCATTCCGCTGAGTCAACAGCCTCTGTACGTATCCATTTAGTGTCTTCACGTCTATCTTTTCATTTCCATTGATGTAATCGAGTCGGATGATATCGTTCGTGAAATTTACTTTGACACCGATCTCGTTAAGTTCGCGAATCAGATTCGTCAATTGCACGCTACTATCGGCTTCTTGGATAACTTCGGGCTTATTACGATTTCTATCGTGGCTATACGATGATGTCATGTGATTGTGCAGCTTAGCAATCTCTTTGTTCTTGCTCCAGAGTTCTGTGTTGACCAACATCTGCAGATTTTGAGTCGTCATCTGCAATTCCTTTGTCAGTTGTTCGATTTTGCGATTCTTCTCTTCGACCTCGGTGTTCCGTTCATTCAACTGCTCGAGCAGATCTTCTCGCGGCAGAGTATCGTCGCGATAATCGGTAGTACTAACTTCATCCACATTATTCATCTCAGCATGCCTGAGCTTATCGAGTTCGGCAATTTTGTTTTTTAAGTCTTCCGTAATAATCTGTTTCTCCATCTCCAAGATCTCGATTTTTTGCTCCTTATCAAGAAGACGAACTTCAAGTTCCTGCACAACAAAAAAGAAATAAATTTATTCAAATTTGTATAAAAAAGGCATAATTTTATTTTTTTAATTGTATTAAAAAGATAAATATACATATATAAGAATATGCAATTAGATTGAATTTAAAAAATTATTTATTACATATAGATAGATAATAATTAGCATATAATCACATATATTATACGCAAATTTTGTATTTTTGAGAATAATTGGCTTTAATAAACGAAGATAAAATAAAATTGTATAAAATTGTATATATCGTAGTTATAATCAAAAGTATTTTAAATATATTTACTATTAAAATATGAATATACACTATAAAAATTATTATAATAAATTTATTACTTTCCGAATACAACGTACATTTAGCGTTTTTGTCTTTAAACCAATTTTTCATTTAGCGTTATGCTGATTGAAGCAAATATTATAATATTACATAATATATTATATATATTTCCTCTTTTGAACTCTAGTTTATATTGTTTGTGCAATTAATTACTAATTATATTCATCAAAGAGAAATATAAATAGTGTAATAATAAACACAACATAATTACCAAAATGTAATAAAATATAAATAAAAATACAATATTATAAAATTTAATTAAAAAGCCAATGTCATTCAATTATTTATAAAATTGGTTATTTTATTATTATGTAGAAATTGCAATTGCAAATCATAGTTGACAATATCGGTAATGGATAAGAAATTATACTTGCGTTAGACATACCTTAAATTCGACTTGCGTGCGTGTTTCCAGGAGATTCTTCTCAGCTTTTATTGTCTCGATTTGGTCTCGCAGATCGCTAATCTTACTTTCCATTTCTTCGAAACGTTGCTGCAAGCATAAAGTATCGTTCCATATCAATAAAACTCAAAACGTTAAGTTCACTAAGGGAATGCTTTATTCATATATATAATTTTGATTACAATAAAATCAAGTCCATGTAGTATTATAATATAAGAAACGTGCCTTTGAGAAGTGGGAAAAGAAGGAAATGCAAAGACATTACATGCAAGTTATACATTCTTATGCAGGGAAACAATTACAATAATTTGTTAACTTTTCGTTTTCTTAGACCAACATCGTGGCGGTACGAGTGTAACAATCGCCGGCCCCTAAAAGGAAAACACATTTCTTGTAATCTCTCCTGTTTTTTTTATTAAATATGTCGTACTTGAAATTTATGTAATAAAAGTAGCTTTTTGGAGAATAATTGTTCCAACAAAAATATAATAGCAAGTTTTTACTTTAATAATTGATAGCAATATGTTTTTATGCATAAAAATATAAAAAAAAGAAAATAATTTTAAAAATATCATGATCTATAATCACTGAAGACATTTAATTAGAATATTTAATATTTTAGTAAAGATATAATTTTAACTTATGAATCTATCTAATATCTCGCGAATAAAAGTGTAACATGTAATAGTACATTACATGCAAGTATACATTACATGCAAGTTTTAATAAGCTATAGATATATAGTGTTTCAACCTATGAGAATGTTCTTTCACACACACAATCACAGAATCTTTAATAAATTTAGGAAATCTATTTCTTTTTTAACTCGAAATTACTAATTTTCTTTATTTTAAATATTTATCTTATTTATTTTCTGTCTTTGTCAATATTGTATGGTGTATTTTAAGCATCAATTTCTTTATTTTCTATATAGCTTTAAAAATACTGATATTAAGATTAATCAAATTACAATATAAATATAAAATGCATATTATAAAATATATTATCAATTAGCTTTTGGATAAACTATTTAATCTGTCAGAAGTATTTAATTAAAAATGTTTGTTTGAATAATTTATTTATTCACATTTCAATTTAAATTATTTTTAAATTTTGACCTATTGTATGTGCAGTTGAAAGAGCATACTACAAAAAGAAAATCTGTAAACATTAGTCTAAGTACAACAACCTCAATATCCTTTAATGAGGATATTGAGGAAAATAGCTCTGACGACAGCACTCTCGACAACACTTTACCTACCTCCATCCGCACTGAGGCGCACAGACAAGAGAACATATTTAGTTGTTAAACTTTTAACTTAAAGAACAGCAACAGAAGCAGCGATCGATTAATCGACTCGCGGATAGATACTCTACGTCAGTGCTAGTGTGATCAGCACTGGTGAATATCCTTAGTAAAGACTACGCCAATATCAGTTACCTACGCATCTGGCAATCTATAATTACTGGCTAATTTGAAATTATTATAGCTTTCATGGAGCGCAATCGCTAACAAGACTTTTTCACTTTTCAAATTTTTTAAAAAGGTACAGTTTGTTTAATTTTCACAAATTTCTTGGTTCTTTATACTCTCTCAACTTATTCGACACATAGAGCAAAGTAACAACTTCCTTCCTTTGTGCTGTATTAGAGCAATCGTGCGCTATTTCCAGAGCGTACAGACACGAGTCGTTTTCGTAGTAGTCGTATCGTCGAGATTGCTGGACGATCGGCGATGAATCGTTGTTGCTCGTATTGTTGTATTCTTGTATTATTATTCGTTCGGGACTACCGCAGCTACGGCGGCTGATCGATCGAGATGAATTTTCGTATGAGGACTGCCGCGTATCGCGATACATACACCGTAAGAAGCCGCGAGAAAAGACGGCGGTCTCTATTAATAGACGACGACCGCGTCTTCCCGCACGGTATTCTCGAGATACCAGACGAGTCGCGCTCCAAAATCTTTCTCAATGCAACGGACTACTTAGAAAACTTTATAATATTGAGAAACTATACAACGACAAAGCTTTGCAAGATAAAGATAAGAGAAATCTAGTAAAAATTATGGAAGATACAAATATATGTAATCCGAAGGCAATAAATAATAAAAAATTAGGGAAGCAATAGTTCAAAAAATAATGTTCTGTAGATATTTACTATCTATATCAAATTACATAAATAAAGTACAAAAGCAATTTATTAAAATGTAAAAATAAAATAAATGTTAAATAAAAAGATACAATTTAATGTAGAATTTAATATGGCAGTATAAAAACGAATTTAAGTATTTAATACATTTATATGAAATGCTCTTCTATAACAAAGAGCATTTTATATAAATAAATATCTCCTGGAGAAGAAGGAAACTCTTCAAGAAATGGCATCACTTTTTCTGACGAAGATGTTATCAAAACGAATGTAATGTTAATTAATATTCAATATTGGTTAATTAATATTCAATACACTTAACAAATAAAATATAGATTGTTTTTATATGATGATATAATTGAAAAGAGAACAATGTTTTTGAAAAAAATTAATTTAACATCTAGAGTAAAACGTTTTTATATAATATAGAGCATAAAGGACTATTTTATTCTCAGTGTAGTGAATCTTATGTGCATACGTAAAATTACATGTGTTATGGAAAAAAACCTATAAAAAAATTTTATAAAAAAATTTATTATTTATATTATTTACGAAATATATATTCAATAAATATATTAGAAAAACTCATGATACTATTATGAGAATTCTGAAAATATTGTTATAATAAAATTATAAGTCTTAGAGAAACAATTAACTTTCAAGTTAATATTTATCTAAAATATTAATATTGTTCAAATAAATTATGAAATTGTACAAATGTGCAAATTCCTATGTACAATAAAATATAAATAATACAATCTGCTGTATATTCTGAACATCACGTTGCAATAAAGTGCAATAAACAAAAATAAAATATGTATTATTAAAATTTATCTGGCTTACACATATAATTACATCATATGTCTCGTAAAAAATAACAGAAAATTATCATGTATAAAACTATAAAAAGTACAAGAGAAATAATAAAAAAAACAAGATAATTCAAAATAAAATACATTATATAGAATAATCTCAGTCATGCATTGCAAGCGAAGCAATTGTCAGTCAAGTAAAATAGTTTAAAACAATAAGAAACATGCAATCATAATAATGATGGTATAAAGCAGAAAAGAAGCAGAAATTAAGTAAATTTAATGATTTTGAAAAAAAGAGAAAAATGTTCAATATATTAAGTTGCCTTATCGTGCTTCTTGGCAAGCAAAGCGTCTCTACACTTCCGGATTCCAGACAACATTTAAAAAATTATGCCATACATAACATAATTTTCTAATAGTTTAAAGATTCAATCACAATTAAATACACAATTCTGAAACGTAGAGATCGGCAAACAAGATTAGACATGAATCGCAATATTGACCTGTTTGCAGGAATCGTTTTCAAAATCATCCGCATTCTTAATGCCGAGATCCTTCAACGAGACGGGACCGTGGCTGTTCCTTCTTTTACGTAATTCTGCCTCCAATTCTACAATCTGCCGTTCTTTATGAGAATCCGTGTCTCGCATTTGTTGCTCACGCTCCATGAAACCTTGTATCGCTTTAATGGCTTTCTGATGTTCGCCTTCCATCTTTTTCAATTTCTGTTCTGCATTTTCTGCTTGCTTCTGAGAGTTGCATAGTTTTAATATCAACTGCTTTCTAGAATCCTCGTGCTGTTTTAATTTATTGTCTACTTCTTCCAGTTCCTGCAATTCAAGTTTTTTAATAAATCAAATAGCCTGCCAGATCATTTTATAGCAGAACAAGTAATAAGAAATGTTATTAACCTTTATAAGATGCCTGATTTCCCTGGTATCTCCATTTAATGATGAATTCAAACTCGCTGCTCTTTCTTTATTTGATTCATAATCATAAGCACCATCATACTTCGTTGCACTTTGAACACAAGATACCTTTTGCCCCATAGATAGTGATATATAATCGCTCGTCAATGAAATTACAGCCGAGGGACTATTAGGCGGCGAACGCTTGCCATAATTATTTTCGCACTACAAAGTATATAACAGATATAATTATAAATTACAATAGATATAATTACAATAAATTACAACAAATGTAAATATAATAAATAAAGAAATATAAATAAAGAATCTATAGCACAGTTCCTTTACATACAAATAAGATTTGAAATTCGTGCGATTGTAAGATATTTAACATTAAGAAAAAAAGATAACAGTAATGTCAGGTTGTGTATGTAAATCATAATAAATCATAAAACAATTAATACCTATTTCAAGACTCGAGTTTTTCTAGCACATGTAAAACAATTGGACATTGTGTTACTTGTTTCAAGAAAAAAGCATCAATTTAATTATTATTAAATTTAATTCACCTGTGATAACAATGCACGATGTTTATTGTTGACCTCTACGAGGACGTCGTCGCGCGATTTTACAGATGCCCTCAATTGAATGATCTGGTTTTTTCTTTTTTCGGACACCTGACTGACTTCTTCATAAGCTTGACATTTTTCTTCTAACAATGCGCTTTTCTGTTTGATGAGTCTGTCTTGTTCGGCGAGATCGTTTTTATATTGTTCCACAACAGAATCCTTCTTGAACAGTTGATCCTTCAATTCCTTTACTTCGTCGCGCAGCTTGTCGATACTTTGTACTCGATCACTGTCTTGCTTCTCCCGCAACCGCGTTTCCACGTCTAATCGCTCTCTGAACTGATCTCGCTCGTTCTCAAGTTCCTGCGTCCAACTGCGCTCCTCTTCCAAACTGCCGGTTATCTGTTTCACCTAGATCATGTAGCAAATGTATCACATATTGCACAAATACTATACAATCTTTCTCCGCCTTGCGTGCCACTTTCCTTTTATAGATATTATGATCATGAAATGAAAAGAACAAATTCGTATCATGTTCCCAAGAGACAAGAGAGAAAATGTTTAATTCATATTATCTGCTTTCTTCGGTTCTCCTTGATTTTTCCCTTCTATGATACTCTTAAGGCCACTATACCTATTTAATGAAACAACGTATTCTCGATATTGCAATAAAAATCGAACAAATAAGTATAAAAAATTTACTAATCATGTATAATAAAAACTTATAGGCTTTGTCAATGAATTCTTCTAAGCATTAATCATGTCATCGTGTAAGCAAGAATTTTTTAACTAATTTCTTTCAAGACTGTTGAAATTATTTAACTTGTAGCAACGAAAGGAAATAAACGCTGATAACGTTTATTTAATTACACTATTATATATTAATTGGAGGAAGGGATATCTCTGGAATAAGAATATGTAGAAATTTCGAAACTATTAATTAAATCCTGTTAATTAATACTTAATTAAATCCTGTTAAATCCATATAATTTAAAACTTTCTTATTCCTATATATTAATAGAACAGATAACGAGAAATTTATAGTACTATTAACTAAACTTTTTATGTCTCAAAATATTAGAGTTATATTCTTGGAACAGAGTTTAAGAGTTATTAAACTTCATTTTATACAAACATACCTCTGCTTCAAGAGAAGTTACCAATTCTTCCATCTGTCGTAACTTTTCCGCATTTTTTAATGCTTGTTCCGGAGTGATACCAAATGTTTCCTTGTAATACATAGATGTATCTAGTTCTCTTTCTTGATATTCCGCTAACTCTGGAATAATAGAAAGAATTTATTTATAATAAATACGTAATTACAATAATAAATTCATTAGAATGAAATTTATATATATTGCAAGATAATTTTATCAAAATAATGATAAATATAATAATTGTATAATAATCGTGCAGCAGACAGAATAAGTTTTTACCTCTTTCGAGCTTGGTTACTTTTTCTCGCTCTTTTTCAAGCGATTGCTGATATTGATCTTGAGTACGAGAAGTTGCTGCTTTCTGTTCCTCATATAATTTAAAAGCTCTCGCTGCCTGATTAAGAAGGACCTGCTTTTCCACCAATTCTTTCCTCAATTTCTCCAACTCTTCCTAAATACCAACATTTCATGGTTAGTTATTAATAATATATAAAACAGTATCATATAATAATTAATATAGATTTACAGGTTTTATATGATACATAATTATAATATATTTATCATAATAACTTCTTTCGAAAAATGGCGTGTAAAGTGAAGAATTTACACTGATAAAAAAAGCTATTAGAATAAAACTATTAGTATAAAACAAGTTATGATATTGACAATGTCAAAAAAACAAATATAAACAAAAATAATTCATAACAAGATCTGTTAAATATAAACCTATTCAAATATATTTTCCAATCATTTCGAATATTTTTCACAAAAATAAAAGTATAAAAGGATTATATAAAAACGTTTTACTCTATAGAGAGAGAGAGAGAGAGAGAGAGAGAGAGAGAGAGAGATATGTTTGATTAATTTTTTTCAAAAACATTGTTCTCTTTTCAATTATATCATCATATAGAAACAATCTATATTTTATTTGTTAAGTGTACTGAATATTAATTAACCTTCAATTCTACATTCGTTTTGATAACATCTTCGTCAGAAAAAGTGATGCCATTTCTTGAAGGGTTTCCTTCTTCCAGGAGATAAATTCGTAACTTAAGCTGGAAGTTCTCCTTTTTTAAACTGCTTAATTCATCCTCATACTCTTTCATTGTTCTACCGTAACCTACTCCATTACTACCACCTCCGCCACCTCCTCCACCATCTCCTGATCGTGCCATCGTTGTTTTGTCTTTGTCTCCGGACGAATTTTCACCATATGGTCTTCCACCTGAAACAGATATTTTCTTGTAGATAAATTTAAATTCGTTAAATTATATATAAACGTACAATAAACACATATTAATATGAATTTTAATAGTGATTATGAAACATTCTTCTAATATAAATAATAATTTCTGCTCACATATACTTAATTAACATTTTTTAAATAATATTAATTTAATATCTTTTTATTTTTTAATATAATAATGTAAATAAATAATGTAAAAATAAAATTATTTAAAACGCATGTATAAAGTTAGGTGTATACTAATTATTCATAAAGACAATAAATACTATCAATTCAAGATTATAAATTTAATATTTAATATTATAATTATATCCATGAACAACTAATCAAAAATAAATAAAAAAGTAATGTACAATAATATTTGCATTATTATTTGAAAACACTGTAATTCATAACTTCGTAATTTATGTATCATTAATTATAAAGATTAAATAATATAAAGGATTAATTTTAAAAATATACATTTTATATATATATATAACATACACATACATTCGTATCTCGAATATCGAATATACAAATCCAAATAAAAATAATAATTTCGTGTTTTCTAACACAAGTAATTTTGATGTTACATAAACAATCTACAAATGACCAAATCTGAAATTGTTTATGCAATATAACTCAAACAATTATTGCTAACATCTGTTGTTCTACTTATTCTTCAAATATATGTATACTCTTCAAGTTAAATTGCATCAATAATGCGTTCCCACACGTTCCCGTACGTGGTACCTTAAACGAGAGCAATGCGACGATATCATGTGCAAGGCCGACACGAGTAATCGCAGATGAACTCTCAAGCTCAATTTTCTATCTGTCATTCGAATAATCACGTTTCCAACTTTGGTTGCATTATTTCCGACACGTGCTGATGGAATCTGTATAAATTTTGAACAACCACGATTTGCCACATGTACCTCATTGAACCCGAAATTAATCATCTTAAAATACTCGATTTTCCTCATTCGATGTCACAAATAAAAAAAAGACGATACAAATAAAAGAACACCATTCAGTTACTTTCAATGCTTACATTCTTATAAGAACATTCCCTAAAAAGATTATAATAGCATATTTTTTAACTATTATATAAAATTCTACATATTAAAAAAAATTATTATTTACATATATTTATTAAATGCATGTCCAAAAAATTATTCCAAAAAATGTGTACGTTTCATAAAAATCTAATTTTTGTTTATATTTTCGTCCACAAATATAATTTCTTTTTTTAGATTATCTATATAAATATAAAGAAGCGCCACTTACTTTCTTTTTTAGCTTTACATAATAATATAGTATAAGAAATATTCTTATAATTTGTATGAGTTTAGATAAATCATGCACGTGTACATTTTTAGAATATTTTTCATACACGCACTATTTTTAGAATATTTTTTAAAAAGTATCTTCCGAATCAATCAGTCTATTTTTAGCCCGTCTAGGCAAATCTCACTGATGCCAAATTTACTTTGGAAGATCGAGCGGCGCCGTCACCATGTACCTTTGAAATTAAATTATTTTGGCGCATCATCGAGCGCCAAAAAGACTTTTTAACACTCTCTCAAGTCGAAACGCAAACATTCCAAGAAAATCTGATACACATATTAACTAATGTATTTTCCCATTTCACTTTTAAAGAAAATTAAATTATTACGTTTATATAATTTTTTTATAATAATGAGCATTGTTATTATATCCTATATATTAATTTTATTTATTTGTTAAAATTATCTTTATAAATATAAATTTATTAATCTTACAAAAAGAAAAATTTTAAATTTCTTATTCTATTTAAAAAATAAGTATTTCAATATAACTAGAAATAAAAGTTTCTTTATGGTCCAGATAGCCGAGATGTGCTCGTAATTTAGCCTGAATGAGTTAATCGTCGTTTCTTCTCTCTTTTCTTCTCCTCGTTCTCTTACATTCATACGTTCAAAGAGTACTATTGCACAACCTTTAGAACTATTCTCATTTATCACTTGCTAGCAATTGCTAACAAACAGCAAGCAAATAGTCGCAAACAATTTCATTCGCTGTTGCAATGACATTGAATTACATCAATTTATTAACGTATCATTAACAGTAATCGGTATTACAAAATAGGAATTAGTTCATATTCACTTTTACTATGTTCCACATCGATTCAACTTTAATCAGCATATTTTTTTTTTATTATAATATATATTTTAATATGAAGTAAATTTTCAAAATTCGGCATACCGAACATAACTTCGATCTTTACTGGCTCGTCTTCGCGGTTCCTCGAGAGGAGAAAAGATCTTAGCAGCGACCTACCGCATCCCATTCCACGAAAAGCGCGTTTTTGAAGTCGTTACATTTTGAAACGTACGTTCAAATTCACGAAAGGGACCAAGCAAGACACCGCACCACAAAGGAGACTTATACGACGGCTGTACAAACACTAACTGCGACAGAACAACAAGCGCAACGCCGAAGACACAAGGCTATAACTTGTGGTTAAAATTATGTTCTAAATGCGCGTGTGTAATGTCATATAGATGTACTTGTCGAAGGTCAGACGTCCACGTGCATTTACCGATTGATCGCACCTAAAAAGCCTCAATGAATACCCCGCCCTTTAACTCGCATAAAGGGCAGTAAACAGTTATGGCATTTAATCTTCATAAATTCAATATTTTTTATGAATTTTAATTAAATTTATACCAAGAGATCTATGCAACCCCATTAAAATATAAATAAACGAAGATAAAAGAAAAATGTTCTTTAAAAGATTCACAAGATATTTTATATCTTTACTATAGCTATATTGCAATGATAAAAGATTTTATGCTACCCATTCAGAACCGATAGAAAAGAGTTGAGAAGAAAAATATCAGTCTTGTAAGAAATGCGATAAATCGTGTAAAGCAGTTTACAAGCACTATGCACATGATTCATACGATAATAGCAACTTTGTAACAAGTCTATGCCGAAATTACGAAGATACATAGAAATGGCTATTTCTCGGTGGAACAAGAATGATTCATCTTGCCTAATTAACGTAACGATGTTCTCCATACTCTTCGTGTCCAAAATATCGTGCTGTCACGTGGAATACGATTGCTGAGGTTAACTGCGCTGTAGCGTCCTAATTCTAATTACGTCTTTCCGTTAAAACCCAATTCATATAAAATTCACTGTACTACGAAGATAAGTTTTGCATCCTTTGAAATATATTATGCAGAAATATGCACAAAATATATTTGTACATTGCGCAAAAGAAGACAAAGGAGAATAACTTCTAGACATGCGTGGTTGTTCCAGAAGCATTTTACGAGTACGAAGACTTTGTCGTGGACACAAAAGTTAATATCGTCGTAACGTTAAACATAAATTCGTTTTTCGACTGTCATAGGCGCGGCGGGGAGGCCATCACGTGTTTTAATAGCCGACGTAAAAAGCTCCGAGAATCCCGAAAGAGCGGAAGAGACACGAAAGCTTTGTGCACCCACTAAAACAAATCTATTTCCTGCTTAACCGGTCGATCGTGTTGTTTTTATTACGTGCCCCGGTGATTTTCGGCAAAAATGCAACTGCGATATCGATTCGCGTCAGAGAGTAGATGCCGCGAAGCAAGAGAGCGAGCTCGCGTATTTATAGATGACACATTTAGGCCAGAACGGTTTAAACTATCTTTATTTTGGCAGGTCAGCCTCCGCTCTCTCCAGATCTCCGATCTGGTCAGTCCCCGGCGGGCAATTAAAATCTTACCGCCGACTAAAGACCTCCGCTGCTCCTACTTTCGCCTCGACAAGAATATTTTTGAAAGTGAATCCGCTGTCACTTTTATTATTCTTAATACTCTAGACTATTAGTCTGGTAATGTATTATGCAACTATATTACTAATATATAGTACTATAATAATTAATTATGGTACCCTGACAGAATAATCATTGCGAGTTAAATAAATTGAGATTTTCTAGGTCAAACATGTATATTAAGCACAATTAACGAAATACGTTTTGATTTTATAAATAAATTACATATACATATATAATGATATATATGTATACAATTATAATATAATTTAATATAAAGAAATGATTTTAAAAATTGATTATTAAATTTTACAACAAAAAAATTTTTTTTTTACACATTTGAGGCTCTCATGCCAGAGTTTGTATCTATTAATATATTACATCTGGCGCATCACAATGATCGCCTGTATATATGAATCAGCCCACGTTACTATTATCCACGAAATAGCTTCTTATTAAGAGCTTTGTCTTTGAACGACCGGTACTTGTCTCTAACGGAGGCGCAAAATTGAAGCTGAAGCTCTGGCTCGCTCATCTTCGGGTAACAAGAAGCGGGCCAATAATTTCTACAGGAGACCTGGATTAGAAACAAACGATATCGCCGTTATTTCGAGAGCCCGGCTGCTAGTAGGGTGCGACTCCACGTGTTAGTGACTCGACGACATTCGTTACCCCTAACAGACTATTGACAGAATGTGATTGCAAAACATGAAATTGGTTTGGTCTTAAAAAATAAATTTTACATGTAATTTTATACAATGCACTAAAAATACAAATCTTGTTAGAATCAAACGTGTACATCACTAAATATGTCACATAAAAAATTCAATATGTAAGATTGCATATAATTCGAAGTAGCATATCTTAGAATAGTCAAGAAACAGGAAAGTAACTGAAAAGAATAGTTCAATTAATATTTCAAATTATTTTCTACAAATATATTTAATGTTTTAATTTTTAAACATGTTATTTAATATTTAATATTATTTTATATTATTTATTTATGTCACAGATTAAATATATTATTATAACATAACATAATAAATGTACGTTTAATGTAGCTTCAACGAAATCTGACAACTCCCAGAAATGTTATTAATGCTAATGTTTCCAGTTTTCTAAATTGATATATCGTAAAAATTGATATCTTAAACAATTTAGATTTGTACATACAGAATTATGATGCAGAATATAACAAAAAATATGAAACTTCGGAATCGCGTTTAATATCTGCGATGATATAAGACTTATGTGTTCATAAACAGGAAATAATTTTTCTAATTATAAATAATTAAAAATAAAATGTTTTTTTATTAACTAAACTACTAAACTATAAGGGACTGGAAACAAATAAAGAATTATATTTTTCTCCTGTGTTATAGAAATAAATACACGTTACGTCTGGCCACTTCGTGTCGTTCGAATGGTTCCCCTACCCGTCGTTATATACGAATGCGCTTCTGGACCCACGAAAATAAATGCTCGCTTCCTGTAACGCGAGATCGCGGCAGACATTTTTCAGACGATATAAACAATCGTTTCGACGGGATTCGAAAATATCAATGTTAATTGCGTCCTATGCATTATTTCGTTTTGCGACATACAAATTGTACCCATGACCTTGACCATTTTACCATTTTAGATCCCCTCGAGAACTGAATCGAAGTGCGGATGTGCTTCAATTGATATAATTTAAGCACTGCTAGATTGTCACGATGACGTCGAATAAATTATAAAATTTGGGTCGAGAAGGCCCTGGATCATATGGCTCGTTCGGACCCTTTAAATCTCTAACATTTAAAATGAAAACTTCGAGAAATGTATCCATATTAATGATATTATAATACCGATTTCTGATTACATCATTGGCAAAAATTATCAAGAGTTTATTGAATTTAATGGTTTATTTCACGACTAGTTCTTTTTTATATATTATTTGTAAATATTAATCAAAAAATTGAATCACTGAATATTTTATTAAATCCATATAGGACATTAAAATACTCATATCGTAATTTATTTCTGCTTATGTACGGTACTTATAATTTCAAAAATTAATGTATATAATTTAATATGCAATTTAATTTCCAAGCTTTCCATACATTCTCTATATAGGCCAACTTATATCAAGCAGAACTTCCAAAAGTGACATTGGACATATTCGCGGAAGCGTAAGAATTGGTAGATATATTGTGCGAGATTGTTACTGTAGATGTCAATTTTACTCGTTCGCTCGAGTAAAATCGCGAACGAGAAAGTTCATTGACCTCGCACCACGCGTGAGATACAATTAGGCGGCCACAGTGTTATGTGCTCTAGCGTATCTTTTTTTTTTTAATTAAGAAATATAAATAAAAAATGAGATTTAGCTAACTTCCGCTGGAAACTTCTTGATCCATCTAAATCAAACAGGGACATCTTGTTTTTGTTCTTGATTGTATTATTTTCCCTGTTCCTATTCTTCTAATTATTCTTAAATTAGATTGCTTTCACTTTCCTTCACATTGTTTACCGTTCTATCACTCATAAAAATACGTATATGTGCCCGGAAGGAACAATTTTCTGAAGGATCTAAAATTTAGTTTGACACAAATCTGAAAATAATTATGTTGGATCATGAAAATAATTATGTATAGAAGTTAAAAAATGATAAGTAATACCGCAAAACATTTTATTCTAGCGCAACCAGTTTCGAGTTTCCAACAAAATTATTTTCATGGTTCAACAAAGTTATTTTTAAATTTGTATCTAGCAAAATTTTAAATCACTCAGCAAAATCGTTCTTTCAGTGTGTAAAAATGTGTAAATGTATGTGTGTATTTGCGGTATATTCAGCTCGAGTCTGTAAGTTCGCTAAACCCAAATGACTGAGATTCAATCAGCCCTGGGGGATGCGTAAATATCCTCCTTGATCCGCAACGGAATTTCTGTAGAACAATGTCGAACAATCAGAAGCTAACGGCGGAAAATGCAGATCATGCGAATGGGAGTAATGAACTGTATACCGCGGCACACAAATTAGCGGCGACCCCTATATGCATTTTCACGCGGCCTCTGAACGGACAAATGTAAATGTTCGCCGTTCGAGAGCGGATGAGAAGACGTGTACGTTATCTCGATTATAAACTGGATACGTGTATACTTATACTCGTGAAATTATCCGTGAATTCATTCACAAAGAAGATATCGAGCTGAAATTATTTTAAATTTAAAAGACCCATTCACATTTGATCACGAAAAACATATGTGCGCTGAGAACCGCTTATGGCTCTTGTGTCGAAAATAGTTTCTGTTTGTGTTGGACGAGCAAATAGCGTCGATTGAAAATTTGGGCATCAGACTTATGAAATCCAATTGTCAGACGGAAATAGAAATATATAAAATATATTTGTTTATAAATTAAAAACTAATTTTTCCTAATTCTGACAAAATTCTAATCTATATTAACTCTCTACAGATAATTGTATATTTGCTTTACCTAATGTTTTTGATGAAGATTAATTAGAAAACTGTGGCAAAATTTTAATTTTTAAGAATTCTAATTAAATTCCAATACAATCCAAGAATCAGATAATAAATTTATGTATTAATACTGAGTTTTTTTAATGAGGATGTGTATAATTATTTTATTTTAAATTTATAAAAAAAATAAACATCAAATTTCGCTTAAATAACGAGGAAATGTGTAATGTTCCAGATAAACGCCTGTTATATTTCTCGAATGGAACAAATAGTAACCAACTAGGAGCAGTATAATTGAAAGTGTGGCTAGCAGCATCACATATATGTTACATCTGTAGCCGTAATTGAAATAGAACCGGAGGGGGATTCAATTACTTAAGGGAAATGACCAATAAAGGTGGGTGTGCAAGGGAAAAAGCCACATAATCGAGTCCCTGTCGTACTCTGCAATATCGATGACGACTTAATCAAGTGGTGAACCGATCTGCCGAGATATCTCTGCTGATATATGATATAAGTAATCGCCGCTACGAGGCCGTAAATAATAAATACGAGTGTAATCGTTCGATGTACGATCGCTATGATCTTCCGCCTCGCCTTCGCCTTTATAGAGCGTAAAATTATATCCGGCTATTCTTAGGAACGCTCTTCCCGGCGAAAGAAATATTAATTGTATGCATCATCGAAGAAGTACGACACATAGATAATATAAGAGAAACAAATTAAATGTTTTAATATCTGATTCTCGATTTTACCTCTTAAATTCTTAATTATTTCCCTTATTTTCCTATTTAAGCTTAATTTTTATTTTTATCTCAAATATTACTGATTTTGTAATTTTAGTTACCTTATAATGCTAGTTTCAAACTAGCATAATATTATTGTACTAATAAAGATTATGATCATATTATCTAGCATTGATCGTTATGGTCATTACTTCTATTTCTTATTGATAAATTATCACTATTAAGTTCGATAAGATATACAAATGTTACTCACCGTTCGTCAATGGCAAGGTTTGACTCATTGTGATCTCCTGCAACGGCACATTGGTGCTACGACAAAGTAAAATAAAGTTAAAAAAAGAATCACAATATTGTTCAACTGTCAACATAAAATATTTTATAATTTTGATCATGATATCTAATACAGTAAAAAATGATGTAATTAAATAAAAAAATAAAAATACGAATATTTTTAGATATCAATTTTTTAAATACATATTAAATGATTTTAATGCCTAGCTCATGCAAAAATATACACATATGAAAAGAAAACTAATTCCATACAACAAATAATTTTAGCCTTATTAAAATGAAAGATAATAAAAAAACAGTGAATGAGCAATTATTTTCGGAATGAGACCAAAAATGGTATGAGAATGTTCCTGGTAGAAAATAAGAAGAACCGAAATAAATAAAACATTTGAAAAGGATCAAAGTGAGCAGTAGATTCTATTTTCAGGACTCCGATGGAACATTTAAACCAAAAAACTAACAAAGCCAGTCTCGACACGTAAGTGAGTGGACAATGATTTACAAGAGCATAAAGAGTGCAAATGAGACTTGCCTGCTGATATTATTAATAGTACCTTAGTTATTAATAGTCCTGCAATTTTTCGAAACTTCGCGTTTGCGATTCTTTATCAGTTCAAGTATTTTAATTAAAAGTAATGTATCACATATTAAGTTTATATTAATTGTAAGATTGTAGTATAATCTGTATAATCTCTTGTGTAAAAAAATACTGTATATTTTTTGTCGTAATCTAGTGTATTTTTAAAAATAAGTAATTAATAATTTATATTATTATTTGATAAATTTCATGTGATTATACTTTTCTGTAAGTATATATGTTTTCCATGATAATAAATACATGTATATTATTTTTATTAACTACAGTATAAAATCCATTAAATGACTGTTAAAGATTTACGAGGAAAAAGCTAATTGTAACAGAAGAATATTTCCATTGAAATTCCCATTATGTAACAGTGAAACCTAACAAGTAATTTTCGTAATGGCTGTAGAACAAAGCCTGTTGTGCGAAATTAATCGTTCATGCCGAATTTATTCCACTCGGACCATAGCTCTACCTAGAAGTCGTTATTGGTATAGTTTAAGGTGGCACAAAGTGTTCGCTATATAAGAGGGTTTATTAATCCGCTGCAGCCGAGCCGTCTCGCAGCTCTCTCGGACAAGGAACGAGCGGCAGTGAACCACAGGATTTCCAGTAAAGTTTTATTTAGATTTCGCGAAAATTCTATTTCTCTCTCTCTCTTCGGTTCGTCTTCCGAAACGCTGCGACTCAAAATGAGTAATTAATCTGCGCCTTGCCCGTCGTCTTCTACGTCATTCTGCATGGCGAATCACATCAACAAACCAATGCAAGATCTCCAAGAAGGCTATCCGAGATGTTCTAAAATAGGTAAATAATTAAAAATAATAAAAATGAACAGTTAAATAACGCGGTTAAAAGTTGAAAAATTTTTTATAAGATTTAAATAAATATAAATCGAAACTATTATGAAAGAGCTGACTTACGTAGATTGTAATAAAAAATGAAAACAAATAATATCTAAAAATATAACGAATATCGAATTACACCGTAAAATTAGAATTCATAGAATAATGTATATGTGTATGTATATATAGAATGTATAAATATAAAGCATATAATATGTATAATATTATGTGCATATATGTATAAATCTAAAGTACATAACTACATAAAATTCCGTCAATTGCGTAAACAGAAAGAAATAAATCCAGATAGTAACTAAAACGTGAATAATATAGGTGTGGAGCAAGCAAGAAATTTACAGTGACTCAGGATCGATAAATGACTCATGTTGTCTTTGCGTGCGGAATTTTAAGAAGCTACTAAAGTTATTTATATTAAATATTTTATTTAAGAAAGTCAATTTTGTTCAATAAATAGGTATATATAAATCAAATATGTGTGAAGAATTTGAAAAAGCTTGGAGAATATATAATGCGCACTTCTTTATCATTCCTTTATATATAATATTGTTATTCTATTTTTTCATTCATTGAGAAAAATTTCTGGTAAAATTTCAGTTAATGCAACCAGACTCTTTTTCCTAACACACAGATTCAACATACTGTAACGAGACTTCAAGTTTGACTTCTCAAATCATTTGATATCTCGCAACCTATTTATTTAGTATTAAGTATAGTATAAAATAAGACTTTTCATGAAAATAATTTTTTTTCAATTATTATAGAATTGAATTATTTCTGCAAAATTTACTGTCCCAAAATTATTCAATTAATTTAACAATAAGATAAAAGAATGGCATTCAGGAATATAGATTTTTTTTTACGAAATACATCTATTGAATCTCGTAGGCTAAAAATAGCCATAGAAAGCATTTACGAATAACAGTGCAGGATTCGTACAAAGAGTATCACGTTTCAGGCAACATTTGTGTAAAAGCAACATTCTAAGAGAAATACACTACTAATATAGGGCCTAATACAATACTAATATATGACAAAATGTGTGCTCGCGATTAAAGATCACGACATTAGAGGATCTATATATATATATAATGGGTATCATGGAAATTGTATATTTTCCCCGAAGAGAGTGAGACTTCGAAGTTAAACTGGACCACAGCTGCTACATACATAATTAGTAACATATAAATGTTACTTTAAATTGACTAATCTAATTAGCTCGACTTATTACTCTACACACTAGTGTATAAAAAATTATATTTTAAGTTATTTATAGATATAATATTAATTAGTATGGAGCAAGATTTTTATGTGCAGATTATAATTTAACTGATAAGTTAACATACGTATACAAAACATATGTTCGCAGAGTTGTTGTATCTGTGTCTAATCTTCGGTTATAAATAGAAGCCATATGGTAGACATAAGGAATATTACAATTTCATATTACGTAAGAGAGAATTCAAATGTACATATACAAATGGTACACATGTCTAGTGTTGTCGTACTTACTGATATTTTCCTTGAAAATATTCGCAGAAGCTATTTTATGGACAAGTATTATCATATATCTTAAAGTCCAACCGAATATAATTCTATTATTTTAATAATCCACAACATGACAACAAAATATTGAAATACTTAAAATGTAACAAAATAAATAAACTGAATTGTTCAAAAGAACATTTTGCACATTTCTAATTTTTATGTAAATATCAAAAACCTCCATCCATTTTTATCTACTTTCATCTATCTTATACTAAAAATTTGCTGTAATAAAAACGCTGCAATAAAAACAGCATAGGTAAACGGAAGATAAGAAAGCAAATAAAGCGAATATAAGAGCATAATTTTCGAATGATATAATATTTAAGCTATTTTTTTATTTACAAACAAATCGAATTTTATTTCCCATCTAGCAGAAAGCAAAACGCCTAATGTGAATGCTAAAAAAAGAACTTTTTTGATTTTTTATTAATATAACATATAACTATTTCTCTCAAAATTTAAAAAAATAACTTTACTTCTCTGAAACTTATAGTTTTAGCTGAATTCTAACTCTTTTGATATGTTAAATTTTAAGATTTATTTATTTATCTATATAATGTAAACTATCCCTAATGTTCTAACAATTAAATGTTACGATTATGTATATCATAAAGAGAAATGAAATTATCAGCTCAGACAATTTTCCGATTTGGAAATTGAATTTTCGTCAACATGTCCGAGCAGCAGATGCAGAAGACACAACTGTCGGCTTTCCGACTTTACCCCTGTATGCATCCGACATCGTTATATTAAGCATCGCTACCCTTACAGGTTTAACCACTCCGGATACGGACTTCTCGGAATCTTGCAGCTTTACCGGGGACACGCGTGTCGGATGACGTTAAAGGGTCCCAAAGACGAGTGCAAGATGCGCATGATGCGATAACAGCGCTAAACATGAATTCGTTCCCGGCTGTAATTATGTGTTACGTGACGTGATATATGATTCATTTAGATCCTTTTGTATGACATATTGTGAGGTGATTCAACTTTAAATTACGACGAAGATTGAAACTATCTGTCGAAATTTAATCTCGATTTTTTTTCAAATCTTTTGCTGTATATAATTTTCGTGAAATACATATAAAAATTATCACTACTAAGGTAAACGTCCCAGTCGACCGGATATACATAAGCCCGGACACTTAAACAAGATTTATTATTATTAATTTCAAATGTTTTTTTTATTAGAATATTATAATTTAATTGCATTTAAAGATTATGCTAAAAAGTATTTGAGATTAATAATAACATAAACAAATAAATAAAGTTTTGTGTAAATGTCCAGACATAAGTATATCACTGGGACAGTTAGTTTATTAGATTTATTGCATAAGAAAGAAAATATTTCATATTAATATTTGGAAATACATTTCAATTTAATTTTACTTAATTTTACTTTACACAGTTTATTTTAAATTTTGCATTTTTTCTACATCCTTTCAGAATTGATAAATTCTGATAAATTTGATGTTCATACAATGAAGACAAAAATAAAGTGTTGGAAAATCTATGCAATAAATTGAAACGGGTTTCGTAAACAAATGTGTAGCGATTCGTAACGTTCTTTTAACAAACAGAATCTAGACAAGGCATCTTTGTAAGTACACGAAATGAGGAAGCAGTCTGATGAAAGGATGCATCATCAGTTACCATCATCTGACAACATGGAGGATGTAACAGATAATCGATACAAAGTATATAACGGGTATAGCAGCAGCCACATGGACCGCAATGTGCACATGTTTCAATTTCTGATATTAGTAACTAGTAGACTATCAAAGATACATTATAAATCTATGGACCATCTCATCAAGTGATTTACATAATTTTCTTATTTCTGCTTTTTAAGTTATAAAAATCTCTAACAGCGCAATCTATGGAAATTAAAATGAAAGAATGGAAATATTTAAAGATATTAAGTTAATCTAGCATCACAATCATTTTTATAATTATCAAACATTGCCATAATTAATATCAAATAATTTCTGTAATTAAAATAATTATAAGTAAACAGCAATAGTACGAGTAAAATATACGGTACTTATTATCGCTTCAATCTTACATTTTTGCCGGGCTATTTATCTATAAATGTTTTGCTGCGATATTAGAATATTCAGTCAATAAACAACTGATACAAATAACATATTTCATACGAAGTAATTCAGACTTTTACTTGGTTACCATACATGTAACTATCACGTAGGTGTCAGTCGTGCAAAGTTTCCTCAATTAACGGTTCGTTAAACGAATTGACCGAGCAGTTAAATAGTTAGCTGGATCCTGTCAGTAGGACTTTATTTACAATACGATGTCGCGAAAGTGTACCCGCACGAATAAATTATTCCTCTGTCTATATTGTAATGACTTAAAATTTTTATTTATCATTATTTGACTCTTGGCTGTCGAAAAGAAGATTCTTTCGGAGTCATTGCAAGATATCCAAGTAATACTTAAAGAGGCTATAAATATGTAAATTAATGCGATATGTCTTGTCTCATGCATATGTATACGCGATACAATAGTAACTGACAAACTCCTGCTTAGTAAAACATGGTAAAAAAATTATTACATTCCGAATGTAGAATAAAGATACGATAACTTCGTCTCATGACAAATAGTAATTAATAGAACATCCAGAGTAATAATTATATTATTATGTTATAAAATATTAATCAGTTTAATGTAAAAAAATACATTTTCTATGTTCAATATAAATTATCAGATTCTGTGATGTACTTTAGTATATTATAGAATTATTAGTTTCTATCAGACTATGCAAGTATATTATAATGGATGCTAACTAAATGCATGTACATTAAATGATATGCGATAAAGAAGACAAAGAGCAGGCAAACTAGATCTCGTCATTAACCTGCATTAACCCTTTTACCCGATAATATACTCAGTACAGCGAAAGTAATGTTCATCACTTTCGACAGCAAAAGCATTTTCTAGCTAGTAACAGTGTTTCGGAAAACAGAATTTAATTTTTTACATTAAAAAAAAACGAAACAGATATATTACATAAATATTTAAAATATTAAATCTGCATCGAAAATCTGACGAAATGTTCAATTTAATAACATTCAATTATCTACTGTCAACCATTCAGATTTTTTCCTTTATTGTCAATTTTCCATTAATTATGTTAATTATTGATAATTAATTAAGAGATAATAAAGAGAGACAGGCATAGAAAGAATTATTGCATATATAATCCTGCTAATTTATTTAAATTTACTTCACTCTAAAAAATATGGGTGTTGATTTAACACCATGCGGTGTGTATATAATTCTTCAAGTTGGTGTTAATATTAACATCATTATGATGAGAATTTAAAACCCATGATTTAAATCCACACCATGTTGGTGCTCAACATCAACACAGTGAAAATTATATAGACACCACATGGTGTTAAATCTACACTCACATTTTTTAGAGTGTATACGATTATATTGTTTGATATAATCGTATACAATATAATTAAAAAGTTCCATAAAAAATTTACATAGAAAAAAAGAACCTATATTAACAAAGTCATCAAATAGTAAAGAAAAAAAAATTTAAGAAAATAGTAAAAAGATAAATTATATTTTGGGTACAGAGTTAAACGACAGAGTTAACAGTAAGTAGCACCGAAATTTATTGCCCTTTTAAGAAAGAGCAAATCAATGATTAATCGAGTTAAGTACATTTACTGCACTCACTTTCGGAAAGAATTATAAGGACTCCAGGCGCCAGTCCTCGTGGACGGCACATTCTGACTCTGAATGGAATATCTGCAGCCACCGAGAAGCATTCCGCAGCAATTTGGCAACAATCACGATGTGAAAACACGTGATCCGTTCACGAATGATACTAAATCCACGGTACTACAACGTCGCAGTATCGTTTGAGCTTCCAAGAAAAGATCTCAAAAAAAAAAACGAGATGAAACGCGCACCACCGATTGACTCTTCGCGAAGAATACAATATCCTCACGACAAATCTTTTAGAATCCTAAAAACATCAACGTTCTTTCGTCTCCTTAAAAACACAACAGACGTGGGACACGACAGTGTTCCTCGGGAAAAATCAGGTCCTCGTGAACGACGATGATTCTCCGCGATTAATTATCGAAATCGCACTCACGTTCTCACGTAAACAAGACATACCACCCTTCCAACCCTTCTCACCCTTCACTACGTGAGGGTCGAGAGTACGGAAAGAGTTTAGGATCCACTCTGCTCGAGGGTGGCAGCGTTAGCGCGAACGGACTATGCTCCTCCGCGTAGCTGGACCGATCAATGGCATCAGCTCTCGCACGAGATGACGCATCAGACAATTCCTCACGGTCGTGATCGAATCTCGCGAGTTGTCGAGTCCAGAGTGAGACATTCACGGTCGATGTCACTCGTCGGAGATGATCTTGAGATGATCTTCACGACGTTCACGACAATCTACACGATGGATCGTGATTTCCCAGAGGGGGATGAAGTCTTTTCTCTCGTCGAGACCAAGTCCTGCTATCTTATCTTGATGATTTGCTAAATGCAGTTAAATGCGATGCGTATATGAAGTCCTACATCAGTCGGTCCGATTCTCGGCCGCTCGCGAATTCTTCGCACTACAGGGATCGTGTTTCGAAACCTCGACCGCGTATCGCGCGGCGCACCGAAAACGACTGACGACAGACGGCAACACGAGTCGAGTAGAAATAGAGGGATGGAGGTGCGGGGGATAACAGGGGAGATGCGAGGGATGCGCCATGTCGGCCATGGAGTTGCTACAAGAGAGAGGGACGAGGAGGGAGGCTGCAGCTCTTCTTCAGTGCGAGACTTGAAAAAATACAAAAATACAAAATCTTTAATAACAAGTTTAAAAACTTGAAAAATATTAACTAGTCCTTACACAACAATATAATAAATCTTAAAAATTGTTCCGCATTTTCTTGTATAAAAAATAATTTAGCTTCTAGTAATTATTCCATTTAGCTTCTTTAGATAAAATTCGATTTTGAATCTTTATACTTTTTAAGATACCTATTTGTTTTCTAGATATTGTCTAAAAACATATATATTTCAATTTTACAGATATATTTTGTATATACTGTTTACATAATATTCATTTTGCATAATCGACACTTTTTTCGAATAAGTTTGTCAAAAAGAGTTTAAATTTATATAAATTTTCGATAAAAACGATGGATTACATCAGTTAAAGTTCCTATACAGTGAGAAAATATTTACCACAACAAAGTCTTAATACATTTTTTCATAAAGTAGTAACTAAAGATTTACTTACAGCAAAATAAATATTTCAATAAAAAATGATAATCAAATTAATGTTCTTGCATCAGAAATAAAAATATGTTTACATTTAGTAAATATTTAATTAATATACTATCAAACAAAATATTAAAATTTAGTAATTTTTTAAACTTAATGTTCTTGTATCAAAAATAAAAATATATATTTACATTTAGTTAATATTTAATTAATATATCACTAAAAGAAATATTTATTAAAATTTAATAATTTTTTTTCAGTGAACTGAAATTACACAATCAATTTCAATTTGTTTCTTTTAGGCCGGGTTGCACCAACGTCACTTTGATTTTAAGCGAAATTTAAAACTTTCTCTATCTTCTCTCATTTTAAAATCGAAAAGAGACAGGGACAAAGAGAGTTTTAAGCCTCGCTTAAAATTAAACTAACGTTGGTGCAACCTTAATGATTAAACGGATATTCGTAAACGTTAAGAACATGATTTGTATTTATTGTAAATCTCCCTTCTCGTTTTCTTCGTTATCGACGGACGTGTAAATCAGCACGCAGTAGCCAATGTAAACGCCGTTGTACTGTCAGATCAAAGAACGAAAGCTGCGGAAGGGAAAAAGGGACTCCACAAGAGAGCAACGCATATATACGTCGGGAAAAGGGGGAGGAACGATGCGGGAGGATAAAGAGAGAAGAGCAGACGATGCGAAGGGCAGACTAACAGTAAATGACAGAAGCAGAAAACGGAGGAGTATGGAAGATCGTAAAAACACGAAAACGAATCTGACATCGATCGAAGACAGAGTTTCTCAGCCGAACAATTGTGACAATTGTAAATGTATAATAATTAATGCTGCATTAAAAGACAAAATAAAACACTGCAGAAAATTTTCGCATCAACTTTTTTCCTACAGAATATGAAAGATTTTTGAATGTTGTCTGTTGTTTTTATGCGATGCTTTTTTAATAACAACGGTTGTGCTACACTTCCAGTAAATTAAAAAATTAGCAAGTAACAAATATGCACGGAGAGAATTTTCTTTTAAAATTTATCCTGAAAATATGGTGATTGTGATACAATACAATATTTTAAAGATTTTTACCATGCACTTCAATAAAATTGATCAAACTTATTTTATACTTTATTGTAGTTTTATTAATGAATGAGAGAGATTTATATTAAAATTCTTCGAAATACACACACACCACACAATGTTGTCCCACGACTGTCATATTTTCAGGGTAAATTATAAGAAAAAATTCTCTCCGTGTGGTTCTATAAATTACATATATTTTTAATTACATACATCTATATTAATTAAATATATCTATAATTTAATACTTTTAAATAAGCAGCTAAAAAATATAATTTATAAAATTATGTATGATTTTAGTTGCTAATTTTCTAATTTATTAAAATATTAGAGCTAATTGCTAGTAGAAAAACGTCGTACATTTCTAAATTCTGATTAACTTAAACAGTGATTAATTTATCAAGCAGTATCTGCGTTGTTTGGTTAACATGGATAGGATAATTTATCTTTTATCATCTAACACAAAAAAATTAGATTAAGGATGATAAATTACATAGCTAAATTCTGCTGTAAACAATTCGACGGGTTGAGTTAATTTCCGATTAAAATTACTGGGAATTCGAAGTCGCCCTTGACGTTTAAGATCGACGTAGCGTACAAACGAGAATTTGATAACCACTGTGATATGTAAGACGATCCTTAACCTCGCAGGGAGATAACCGCTGTTAAATGAATAAACAATGAGTGAATTCACGATTCATCGTGGAGTACATGTGGTAAAATTATATGACATAACAATGTCATTCGCATGTCATTTGCTTCATACTTTCCTCAAAAAGAATTCAGTTTTCCAAGCTAAATAGACATGAGTCACAGATATGAGATAATTTGTCATAATTTCACTTATACAAGATAAAAAAGTGATTCAAATAGAGATAGAAAGATAAAGACGGAATTATAACAAAGTGACAAAACAGTCCAAAAACGACAATATCGATTAGAAATAGATAAAAAAAATGATCTGTAAACAAATGAATACAAAACAGTCATTTATCATTATAATTTACACAAGTAAATAACGAATTGGATCTCTGGTGCGTTTTGACTGCTCTCGAAGGAAAAGGCATTGCACGGGGTATTCAACGAGCGGCAAAAATATATGTGTCTATTTATATTTACAAACCCAGGAAGCCCCACGTGCGAGGGATCGCGGAGGGGATTTATGAGAGAGTCTGGGAAGGATCTACTTGGTGGATTTACTTACATGTCGAATTCCGTAGGTGCGAGCGTCTCCTCGAACTCCGTCATTGTGTCAAATTCACCACATTCCCTTGCACTGTATTCCGAACGTCGAAACGCTAAGGTGAAACAAGCGCGATCAAACCAGCGTCGCCGTTACTTTTCAAAACAATGTTTCGCGAAGCGACCGCGCCATTTGTCGTGGCGTCCTCAGATCTGCCAACCGCCTCTGGTGGTGACATCTTCAACCAAAGTCTGCCAACGACTGAATTCAAATGTAGGGCAATTAAATGCACAGCTCGTTTTCGACAGTTGGTCACAATTCGGCAATAGGTATTGTCACCGACGAGATATTATTAAAGATCGTCAACCCTGAGCAAATTTTTGGCGGTATAAAAAGGGCCTCGAGGGTCCGGAGGTAATTCAAGAACGCTGACATTACCGACAATTGATATAAATTTGCTATTATTAACATAAAATATTTGGCTCACGCATTATTAAATTCATGATTTTTTATTACATAAATGTCCCATAAATAAATATACATACTTGTAAAGCTGTAATATCCTATATATTGCAAAAAAATCACGATTTTTTTTCTGCAATTTTTTTTTTATCATCTTTATTGATAATCAAACTTTGATGATAATTACACTGAAATCTCAATTTTAAAGAAAAATCGAGTATTATTGAGATATAAATGCATAAATACATCTACTAAACTAATAAATCATAAAATTAGTACAATATTATCAGTTTTTAACTCTTAATCACTTCAATATTCACAAAGACGCGAACTCCCGTAAAGATGTCGGTCTTTAATAGTATCTCGTCGGTGATATTATTAAGGGGATGCTGGAGTCTTCTTTTTTACCGATGAAGCAAGCGTTTATGTTCCTTGCGCGGTTCTTCGAATTAGTTGCACAGAATAAAAATTCCTTCTCCACGATTGAAATATCCGTGCTAATGTACCTGCTCCTGGTGTATTTTGTGTCCAAAACTGGGAAAAATAATAAATTACAGATTCCTGTATCCATATGCTATCAGCTCATCAAACATTTACTTCGTGAAAAAATTTTATGCACGTTATATGCTCGAAATTAGAGCAGGAGCACATGTAGAATAAATAGACGATTACAGTCGTATCTTTAGAATTAAGTTTTGACGCCTAAATAAAAAGATTAGCGCAAGGAACGAAATTGTGTGTCTAGCGCGTGAGAAATCGACGATGTATGACTGTTTAGCCATGAAACCGAGCAGTATTTTAGTTGATCTCTTTCTAAGAGATGGCGTTGCAATATGTTAGATAAGGAAAGATGAATGCGTTTGAGTGAGACACAACGATAAATAATAAGTATAAGAAATA